GAGCACTGTCCGTAACAGGGGGGGTGGACCACCTGCTGGAGGGCCTGGGTGGTCAGCCTGGAGCACTGTCCATAACAGGGGGAGTGGACCACCTGCTGGAGGGCCTGGGTGGTCAGCCCAGAGCACTGTCCGTAACAGGGGGGGTGGACCACCTGCTGGAGGGCCTGGGTGGTCAGCCTGGAGCACTGTCCATAACAGGGGGAGTGGACCACCTGCTGGAGGGCCTGGGTGGTCAGCCCGGAGCACTGTCCGTAACAGGGGGGGTGGACCACCTGCTGGAGGGCCTGGGTGGTCAGCCTGGAGCACTGTCCGTAACAGGGGGAGTGGACCACCTGCTGGAGGGCCTGGGTGGTCAGCCTGGAGCACTGTCCGTAACAGGGGGAGTGGACCACCTGCTGGAGGGCCTGGGTGGTCAGCCTGGAGCACTGTCCGTAACAGGGGGAGTGGACCACCTGCTGGAGGGCCTGCGGTGGTCAGCCCGGCAGAAGAGAAAGCTGGCATGGGAGGCTGTGCCCCGTGGGGAGAGAGGCGTGGAGGGCGCAGGTGGCCACATGAGCTAAGCCACCAGGGCACCGCCGGAAATGGTCGTGGGAGCTGGAGGAGCCGGGCCTGCCGGTCTTCAGGAACGGTCACCAGGGCTGGGGGCTGCGTGGCTGTGGGAACGCAGTCAGCAGATCCGGGACCTTGAAACAAGCTGTGCCCTTCTTTTCCGGACCTCTCCCACAGCGAGCGCAGTGCGCCGGCCAGTCTGACTGTGTCACCCAGCACATGGCCCAGGGCAGCGCTGGAAAAGCTGTGGGTGAGGCTCCTTCCAGGAACACTGGGAATTCAGCGCCTGACTCTGGGGTTGTCTCAGATACCATTCCTCGGGCTGCCACCTGGGGGCGCTGTGCACGGTGGGCTGCTGCGCTCCCAGGCGCCCGGTTAACTCCTGCAGCTGCGCCCCGCATGGCCATCTGGTTTCCAGCGACTTCCCTCTGCTGGACTGGCCCTGCTGCCTCCCTGGAACCTGTGGCTGCTGGGGCATCCCAGAGGCTCGCAGACAAGGGAGGGGCAAGAGCCTCTTCCTGGGGTGGCAAGCCCAGAGGCTGACGCCCAACGTGCCCAGCAAGTGGTGGGGACAGCAGGGAGGAGGGGTACACGGCTCCTCCTGGGTTCCCCTCCCCTGTGCCTTTGCCAGAGCTAAAAGCCGTGCCATTCACGTTCTTCACCCCCAGGGAGACTTCCCTCGGCCTGGAGCTTCACCTGTGGCGTGGTGTTGTCACTTGTGGACCAGTCCAGGTGATGCCCTGCTGCTGTCCTGGTGGGCAAGGTGGACGCCCCCAAGTCCCTCCCCCGCCACAGGTGGTGTATCTGTAAAATCCAGATGTGAACACACGCACCTGCTGACCAACCTCTCAGACTCCTGGAAGACATGACCCAGACTCAGGCTGGGAGCAGACCCTTGCTGCCAAGGCCTCTCCCCTGCAGGCTCCCCTACACCTGCCAGGTCCCCTGGGTCCTCCCCAGCAGGCGATAGAGCAGCGACACATACATACATGTGTGGAACCCCTAGCATGCCTCAGGCGTAGCGCCAAGCTCCCCTGGAGGTCCAGCTCCACGGAAAGGCTATGAGAAAGGTACAACTGTTATCTCCAATTTGCACCTGGGGGAACTGAAACATGGGGATTCCTTTTTAAAATAATATTTTCAACTGCATTTTTTAAATGGAGGTAATAACCACCTAGTTTTTTTTTTTTAAAGATTTGTCTGAAAGTCAGAGTTATGCTGGACAGAGAGAGAGGTCTTCCACCGGCTGGTTCAGTCCCCAGATGGCTGCAATGGCCAGAGCTGTGCCAATCCGAAGCCAGGAGTCGGGAGCTTCTTCTGGGTACAGGGGCCCAAGCACTTGGGCCATTTTCCACTGCTTCTCTAGGCCATAAGCAGAGAGCAGGATCGGAAGAGGAGCAGCCGGGACTCGAACCAGCACCACAAGGGATGCTGGTGCCGAAGGCTACACAATTCTTTTTTTTTTTTTTTTTTTTTCTTTTACAGCAGAGTAGACAGTGAGAGAGAGAGACAGAGAGAAAGGTCTTCCTTTGCCGTTGGTTCACCTCCAATGGCTGCCGCGGCCAGTGCGCTGCAGCCGGCGCACCACGCCTATCCGAAGGCAGGAGCCAGGTGCTTCTCCTGGTCTCCCATGCAGGTGCAGGGCCCAAGCACTTGGGCCATCCTCCACTGCACTCCCGGGCCACAGCAGAGAGCTGGCCTGGAAGAGGGGCAACCGGGACAGAATCCGGTGCCCCAACGGAGACTAGAACCCGGTGTGCCGGCGCCGCAAGGCGGAGGATTAGCCTACTGAGCCGCGGCGCCGGCCTCACAACTCCTTTTTAAACGCAACTTGTGGAGCTGGTGCTGTGGCACAGCAGGTTAAAGCTCTGATCTGTGGCCGTTGCGGTCATTTCAGGAGTGAACCAGCGGACCAAAGACCTCTTTCTGTCCCTACCTTTTTCCATAACTCTTTCAAATAAATAAAATAAATCAAGAAAGAGAGAGAGAGAGAGAGAGAGAGAGAGAGAGAGAGAGAGAGAGAGAAGCAGCAACTTTCCAGAGCTGACACGAATGGAAGAGGCAGCCTCACTCCCAGCTGACCCCAGTGGGACCTCCCCTCTTCACCTGGGGTTCCCACTGCCTCCCACCCTCCGGGAACTCAGGGTTCCCTTCCAAGGCACTTCCTCTCACCTGTCTGCCAGGTTCCCCCAGCACACCTTGGCTGGGTGGGAAGCAACTGCTTAGGTTTCCCACCCACCAAGGGCCAATTCACACCCCAAGGCCAGGGATTAGGGGTGTCATGTGCCCCCTTGGCTCCAGCCCCCTAAAGCCTGCACCTTATACTGCACCCACTCTACTGTCTCCCTAAGCCCCCCGATTGTGACCAACTCCTTCCAAGCAGCCAGAACAGGTTTGGGGGGAACTGCGGGTCACCTGGCCAAAGTCCTTTGAAGAAGTGGGTTGGGGATAGACTCTGAGAGTGGGGTGGGGGCGGGTAACTTCACTGCAGGAGTCTGCTCCTCAGCCCACCAGCAAGCCTGGAGGGGTTTTATAAGAGGGATCTTCCTCCTCCAGAGGCCCCTCCCCCAGGAGCTAGCCCCACAGTCTTTCCGGAAGGGTGCAGCTGGGCTTGTGGGACACAACGGAGAGAGCCATGGGTGGGGGAGGGATCCCCAAAGTCCCTTTTTGTGCTCTTGAATGATTAATTACAGGGTGGGTTAAGCCGCTGTCTGCAGCGCCAGCATCCCATATGGGCACCAGTTCAAGACTGGTTGCTCCACTTTCTATCCAACTCCCTGCTAATGGCCTGGGAAAGCAAGCAGTGGAAGATGGCTCGGGTGCTTGGATTCCTAAATCCATGCAGGAGACCAGGATGAAGCTCCTGGCTCTTGCCTGGCCCAGCCCCAGTCATTGCAGCCATTTGGGGATTGAACCAGTGGTTGGAGATTCTCTCTCTCTCTCTCTGCCTTTCAACTAACTAACTAAATACGTCTTTTTTTTTTTTAAATAATAATTACTTTGGAGGGAGCAAGGCCATAGGAGCCTGGATTCAGGCGTGGGGAGGGGACGGGGCTCAGGCACCCCCCCCCCAAGCTCTGCTGGGCCAAATACACCAAGTGATTCACTCCCATCCTTAGGACTATGCTGAGGGTTAATGGAGGCGAGGGCCTTAAGGTCTTGGGCCTCAGCCTGGTGTACAGTGGGTGCCCCAAGCACTGCACACTTCCCGCAGGTCTGCCAGGTCCAAGCTGCCCTGGCCGGAGGCTGGGCCTCCTTCCTGATGCAAACACTGGTATGAGCTGGCTTTCTCAGGCCCCTCTGGGGAGCACTGGGGAGGCCGCCAAGCCAACGGCGGCACAGGAGTGAGGCTCCCGTGGCGGGAAAGGGGTCGGGCCAGCACCCTGGACAGGGACAGCGCTGCGGGGCTCTCTGGGCATCCTGCCCGTGTCCTCCAGGGTCTGTCTGACGGGGATTTGCAGTGTGGCCCCCGAAGTGGCCGTTGCCAGCCAGCCGGCCGGGGAGGGGATCGTAGCAGATGGGCGGGGGACGCCCGTCCATTTGCCGCAGCAACGGCCACGCGGCGGGGAGGCGGTCCCAGCGGCGGCTGAGGCCCAGGCTGGGCGGGAGCTGGCGTCCGGGAGCGCCCCGCCCGGCAGTCGCGTGAGCTCTGGCTACCTGGAGTGGGAAGCGGCCAGAGCCGGTAGCCGTATAAATGAGCGCCGAGGGTGCCTGGGTGGCCTTGTCTTCTCTGGGACCAAGTTCTCCCACTACAACCAGAGGATGAGGGATCCAGGCGACCACCGAGGTGGTAGCCGCAGGAAGTGGCCGTGTGTGTGTGTGTGTGTGTGTGTGTGTGTGTGTGTGTGTCTGGAGTCCCTAGAGACAGCCTAACGACCAGGGTCCTAGTCTTGGACTGGTGGCGAGGGCGCGCCTCGGTTTCCCCATCCAGCTGGGTCGCTCAGTCCATGAAGTGGCTGTGGCGGGGGCCGTGCCCTCCTAGCCCTCGTGGGAGCGCCCCAAGCCCCACGAGGCCCCACGGCTCGGCCGCAGAGGAGGTGCTGAGCTGAGCTCCGGTGTGGGAACGGGTGGAGGGCGGCGTTGGAGAGGGGGGCGCGCAGCCCGAGCAGGACGAGGTCCTTCCAGCAGGTGGGGTCATCACCACCCGCCGCGGGCGCTAAAAAGCGCGGCGCCCAGGACCCGCTGCAGCCAGGACGAGAAGGCCGGGAGCAGGTCCCTGGGGACCCCCGCGGTCCCCTCCAGCCCCACCCCGCGCAGGAACAAAAGCGGGAGGTGGGAGCCGCGGGCGGCCCGGCTCAGAGGGGCGGGGCGGGGCGGGGCGGGGCGGGGCGGGCGACGTCGCCTCCTTAAAGCCCCGCTGCTGGCGCGGCGCTCACTCCTCCGCCTCCGGGCCTCGATCCGGACGCCGCGCCTCAGAGCATGGGGCTGCCCCGCAGAGCTGGGGACGCGGCGCAGCTGCGCAAGGTAGGAGCTGGGGACAGGAGACGTGGAGGTCGAGGCGGGGGCGTGACCGCCGCCCCTAATCGCGGCTTGTGCGCCCGCCCGCAGAGCCTGAAGCCGCTGTTGGAGAAGCGCCGGCGCGCGCGCATCAACCAGAGCCTGAGCCAGCTCCAGGGGCTCCTCCTGCCACTGCTGGGCCGGGAGGTGAGTGCCCGGGCGCGCGGCCCCGGCTCCACGCCCCGAGGCGCGCGCGTGGAGGGTCGGGCTTGGGGCGCGCGGCGGGGGCGGGGGCGGGTAGGGCGGACACTGCGGGGCAGACCCACCGCTGGCCACGGCGCGGGGCCAGCAGCTCCCGCCGATAGCGCGGCGCTCTCTGTGGCAGCCGGTAGACCCCCGTCTGCTTTGCCGTTCTCGGTCCTCCTGCCTCGTGCCGGGGCGCAGAACTCCCGCTCCTCGAAGCTGGAGAAGGCGGACATCCTGGAACTGACCGTGCGCTTCCTGCGGGAGCTGCCAGCCTCCGCCTGCCCTGCAGCAGCTCCGGGTGAGTGCCGCGCCCCGCGCCGCCCCGCGCCCTGCGCCCCACACCCGGCGCCTCACGCCGCTTTCCGCCCCGCAGCTCCCTCTGACAGCTACCGGGAGGGTTACCGCGCCTGCCTGGCCCGCCTGGCCCGTGTGCTGCCCGCGTGCTGCGTCCTGGAGCCTGCCGTGAGCGCACGTCTGTTGGAGCACTTGCGCCGGAGGGCAGCCGGCGCCACCCCGGACGATGGGCGCCCTGGGAACCACGGGGGTCCGCCCTCGCCCGCCCCACCGCCCGCGCCTGCCCCCGCGCCCTCGGCGCCCGCGCCTCCCCGCGGCCCCGGTCTCTGGAGGCCGTGGTAGCCTCCTGCCCGATCCACAGACCGTGCGGACTGCGAAGGACCTGAACGAGCTCTTGACCGCGGTGGCCGCTGAGCCCACCACGAGGGACCAGCGCAGCACCCACACCCAGGCCGGGACCCGGATGTTTGTGACAGGTCTCTGCTCAAGGAATGGCTGGTAGCCACCCTTTCTCACCCCAGCTGGGGAGCGTCTGGGCTGCAGGGGAAGGAAGGAGCCCTCAGCCCAGAGGTGGTCCTGGCGCTGCGCCAGCCACAAGCTGCAGGAGCAGCCAGCTCACCTGCCCCTGCCCCGGCACTGGCACCAGACCAGGCTTGGGCCAGGTGCGGCCATTTGCTCTGACGGTCATTGCCCTCCCAGCCCTTCTTGTACCTGCCCAACAAGCTCAGGAACCTCTGGCAACACAGCAGCAATGGCCTGGGGGCTGTGGTCACACCTAAGGCTGTGCTCAGGACACCAGAGCAGGACAAGGGGACAGTGCAGGGCTGGGGAGCTGTCAGCTCCGTTCCTAGGACCTCCCACTCAAAGCCTCTGACAATAGGGGCAGTGCTGGGAGTGGGGGCTGGGTTAGGAAGCATTCACTTAGCAACTTTGCACCACGCCCCAGGCTGGGTGGTCTTGGCAGGTGAGCATGGGATGACAGTGGGGCTGCCCGGTGGTCCCAAGGAAGCTTGTGCCCTGGCGGGCCTGAGCCCAGCGCAGAGACAGTGCTGGTGCGAGGTGCCCAGGCCCTACCCCTACAACTGCAGGGACTGAAGTGTGGCAGCAGGTTAAGGAACAGGGAACACCCACTGCTCATCTGAGCTGGTCACCGGGAGCGACCTGTTCCTGGGACTTCTCTTTGCTTTCCACACAAGCCAGGAGGGCTTTAGGGGTCTCTCGGGGAGGGGCCTGAAGGTCCCAGTTATGGGCGTCCGAGAAAAGGCGGGAGCACGAGTGGCCCATGGCTAGTCATAGTCCTGTCTGGAGAGAATTCCCTGGGCGGGTGGGAAGTCTTCCCCTGGTTCCCAGGGCACTAGAGTGGGAAGACGGGACGGATGGAGGGAGTGGACAGTCACCACGTCGGACTTGGGCACACAAACCCGTGGTGACCTGGGTACTGGTTCGGGAAGCTGAATGTCAAGGCCACAGCGTGAGGCCTGCAGCCAGACTGCAAGGTCCTGCAGGGCAGGGCTTGGGCTGGGCGCACCTGTACGCCCAGGTGGCCCCTGGAAGCTCGATTAGCATGGTGAACTAGTGACAGGTGATGTGACTGAACCCTGGACACCTGGCCTTTGCCTTCGCTCCCTTTCCCCAGACCCCTGGGTCACGAGGCCCCCTGCTTCCTGCAAGGGCACTTTGTCACTTTTGCCTGCTCTGAGAACACGCCCGGCTGGCTGGCTGGCACTGCTTTCCTGAGCTGCTGGGAGCAGGTAGAGAAGGAGAGTGGGAAGCCGCAGCCGAAGCCCATCCGGGAGCTCAGGTTCCTCTTGGATTGGGCTGTGCCTATGGCACTCACGGGACAGGCGCCGGGCCCTACACAAGCAGACTCTCACCGCAGGGTTCACCTGCAGGAACTGGCCCGGCCGCCTGCAGCCATGCCCGCCACTCCCGCGGCTGTGCCTTGTGTCGACCCGGCTCCCAGCAAGGAGGGGCGTGCAGCTGGGCCAGTGACTCACTGGATCAGGTGCTCTGGGCTGGGTGGCACACAGGAGCTGGGGCGTGCCCGGGCAGGTGAGGTTTCACGGAGTTTCTCCGTGGAGATGGCCACGGCCCGGGAGGGCTCACCCAGTGCTCCATGCTGGACTGTGAATTAAGGGCACCACCTCCTGGCAGCCCTGCAGGAGTTCCACGCCCCATCTGATGGCTGCAGGTGAACACAGCCAGTGTGTCGGGGGGGGGGGGGCAGGGGCTGCTTCTGTCAGAGGGTCATTTTAGGACCCTTCACAAGGAGGACCCACATCTGGTCCAGTGGCCACATCTTGGGGTGCTTGTCCTAAGGTGATGCTGTGACCCAGTCTTGCTCCCCACTGGGGAAAAGCCCCCCCATGGCTCTCGTAAAACCACGAGGCCAGTGACCCGAGGACAGCCAGGGCTCAGGCTCTCTGGGAACCTCCTCTGTGCTGGGACGTGGCTCTCCTGGGACACAAGAGCTTGGGACAGGCCCCGGCCTGGGCCCTGGCAGCAGGCAGTTAGGAGAGATCGGATCTTGTTGCCATGAGAGTAAGAATAAAGAGTGGGTTGTTGAGGCTGGCGCTGTGGCATGGCGGGTAAAGGGGCCGCACATAGGCACCCGTTAGAGTCCCGGCTGCTCCACTTGCGACCCAGCTCCCTGCTGATGCACCTGGGAAGGCAGCGGAAGATGGCCCAAGTGCTTGGGCACCTGCACTCTCGTGGGAGACCTGGATGAAGCTCCTGGCTTTGGCCTGGCCATTGTGGCCGCCCTTCAGAGAGCTGCCCGGGCGTGCCATGTGGGGGTGACGGCAGTCACCCACTGAAGTGTTCATGATGAAAGACTTCCGTCTCTCTCTGCCTCTGCCTCTCTCTCTCTGTAACCCTGAGTTTCAAATAAATAAATAAATAAATCTTTTTTTAAGAGTGGGTTGTCATTTCCTAAACATTTGCAAATTGTCCCGCCCACCCGTGAATCGGGGCTCCTGCAGCTGGACCTCCCACTGTCTGGGACAGGAGCAGAATGAGCTTCCGTGACGAACGTCGTAAGGAAGCTGTGGCCCTGCTTTGGGGCGCCCCTGCTTTGGGGCCTCCTCTCTGGAGGTGGTGGGACACAGGGGTCTTTCCCAGCGTGTGCACCACCTGCTCTGACAGTCTCTGGCCACAGCCACGTTACAGAGCTGGGCAGGCAGCGTTTGGGGCGCCCTTGCTATCCTCACCAGGGGTCTGGAAGCCTCTTCCCACCACACACCCACATCAAGGCCTTATTTACTTTTCACAAATGCTCCAGGATGGGGCCGGCGTCGGGGCAAAGCCACTGCCTGTGATGCCAGCATCCCATATGGGCACCGGTTCGAGTCCCAGCTGCTCCACTTCCCATCCAGGTCCCTGCTAACGTGCCTGGGAAAAGCCCAAGTGGAAGACAGCCCAAGTGCTTGGGACCCTGCACCCACGTGGGAGACCTGGAGGAAGCACTGGCTGTTGCAGCCATCTGTGGAGTGAACCAGGGGGTGGAAGATCTCTCTTTGTGTCTCTCCCCCTCTCTCTGTAACTCTGACTTTCATAATAAATAATCTTTAGAAAACAATGCACCAGGCTTTACAAACTGCACCAGACTGCGAGAGTCAGTCTAGAGGAGAAACCGCTGCCAAAGGCTTTGGTTCCCGTGGTGTGGATTTGCTTCTTGTCTGAGTCCCCGTAAGTGTGCTGTGCCTTGGTATGGGATGCCCGCGTGTGTGAGTGTGCATGTGAGTACGTGTGTGAGTGTGTGTCCCTGTGCATCCCAGGAGCTGTGGCCTGTGTGTGCATGTGAGTGTGTGTGCAAGTGTGTGCACATGTGTATGTGTGTGAGTGTGTGCGTGTAAGTGTGTGTGTCCCTGTGCTGTGGCCGCCCTTCAGAGAGCTGCCCGGGCATGCCATGTGCCATGTGGGGGTGAAGGCAGCCACCCCCCGAAGCGCCCAGTGAGAAACTGGTTTCTCTCAGGGTTTTCAGAGGCCCTGGCAAAGCCCCAGGGGCTCAAAGCAGCTCTAGTAAAACCTGAATAATAGGTTCGGAGCGTGGGAAAGGCGCTGGAGGACACACCCACCTGTGCACACGGTGTCTTGTCGCCTGGAGTCCACAGGGTGGCAGCAGAGATCAGGAGCCTGGTGGCTGGGCACTGGCTGGCCCAGATGGCGGGGATCCCGGGTTCCCCCGCCTGCCCGCAGGGCTGAAGGAGGAAGATTCCAAGCTGAGCACGTGGGCACAGCTGTGTCTGATGTGGGGGTGGGCCCGGGAGCCGCCGTGGTGGTGCTCGGTGTATAGGCCTTTGTAACAAGCCTCAGGGAGCATAGCCCACAGGGGTCTTAAAGAACAAGGTGGGGGGAGGCGTCGCTGTGGCCAAGTGGGCTAAGCCCCGCCTGTGGCGCTGGCATCCCACACGGGCACCAGTTCGTGTCCCGCCTGCTGCACTTCTGATCCAGCTTTCTGCTAATGCCCCTGGGAAAGCAGCAGAAGACGGTCCAAGTGCGTGGACTCCCGCCACCGGCATGGGAGACCCAGATGGAGTTCTAAGCTCCTGGCTTGAGCCAGGAGGTTGCAGCCATTTGGGGACTGAACCAGAGGATGGAAGATCTCTCCCTCCCCCCACCCCGTAACTCTGCCTTTAAAATAAGTTAAAAAAAGAAAAATGGATTAAGCGTTTAGGGTGTGGGCATTTGGTAGAGCAGTTAAGATGTGGCGGGGAATGCCTGCATCCCGTACTGGGGTGCCTGGGTTCAAGTCCCAGCTCCGCTGTGAATTGCAGCTTCCTGCTAATGTGCAGCCTGGGGGCGGCAGGTGACGGCCACCCGCGTGGGAGACCCGTCCGAGTTCCTAGGCCCCAGCTTCGACCTGGCCTTGCGCTTGCTGTTGGGTGCATTTGGGGAAGAAACCAGCCCAAGGGATCTCTGTGTGTCTGTCTCTCTGGCTCTCACATCCAATAAATGAAACAGTTTTTAAAAGATAAGTTTATTTTGGTGCAAAAAAATTTGAAATCCGTGCATAGTTTTCCAGAATATGTTTTTTGAGAGCCTCTCACGCGCATGCGTTCAATCTTTTTTTGTACCAAAATAAACATATTAGAATTCCATTTCCATGAAGTGTTTGAAATTCCCTCGTACATTTGAGACGAGGAATTCCATCTTTTTTTTTTAAGATTTATTTATTTATTTGAAAGTCAGAGTTACACAGAGAGAGGAGAGGCAGAGAGAGGAGAGGTCTTCCACCCGCTGGTTCACTCCCCAGTTGGCCACACGGCTGGAGCTGCGCTGATCCAAAACCAGGAGCCAGGAGCTCTTTCCAGGTCTCCCACGAGGGTGCAGGGGCCCAAGGACTTGGCCATCTTCCACTGCTTTCCCAGGCCACAGCAGAGAGCTGGAACAGCCGAAACTTGAATCGGTGCCCAGATGGGATGCCAGCACTGCAGGTGGTGGCTTTACCAGCTACGCTACAGCTCCGGTCCCAGCAATTCTGTCTTGATTTGTACAATATTAGCAATTAAAGCATGTTAGCATAAATGACATTTTCAATGTAAGAATAAGTATATTTTACAAAACAAAAGTATCCGCAGTGGTGTGGTTATGCCGTCAGCTGAGACGCCTGCGGCGGAGACTGGAACTCCCGGGCCTGGGGCTCGGCTCTGCACCCCGTCCCGGCTTCCTGCAAACGCACGCCTGGGAGGCAGCAGGCGCCGGCTGGGGGAGCGGGTCTCTGCCACCGCGTAGGAGACCTGGACTGAGTTCCTGGCCCCTGCTTTGCTCTCTGCCCTGTCCCAGGCCTTGCAGGCATCTGAGGCGTGAACCAGTGCATAGGAGCTCTGCTTCTCTCTCTCGCCCCCCCCCCCGCTTCTCTCTCCTTCTCTCTCTCTCTCATCTCTGCATCTGAAACAAAAATATTTTAAAAATTTGGAGGAAACAGTGGCTTTTAAAAAAATACTTTTGTGTTGCTCCTCTTCCAGGCCAGCTCTCTGCTGTGGCCCGGGAGTGCAGTGGAGGATGGCCCAAGTGCTTGGGCCCTGCACCCCATGGGAGACCAGGAGAAGCACCTGACTTCTGGCTTCAGATCAGCGCAGCGCCGGCCACGGTGGCAATTAGGGTGTGAACCAACGGAAAAGGAAGACCTTTCTCTCTGTCTTTCTCTCTCTCACTGTCTACTCTGCCTGTCAAAAAAAAAAAAACTTTCGTGAATCTCTTCACTGTGTACCGGAACAGCTGGCATCTGGTGGCCACCCTGTACTCGGTGCATTTGCTGCCGTTTTGGCAAAAGCACACCGAGAGGATGAGGCCTCAGAAGGACGTCAAGTTGGGAAAGGGAGGGAGGTTTAGCACTTTATCGTTTCTTCAGAAAATCACAGAGATTTGAGAGAGAGAGAGAGAGGGGTCTTCTGTCCGCTGGTTCACTCCCCAGTTGGCCACAATGGCCAGAGCTGAGCTGATCTGAAGCCAGGAGCCAGGAGCTTCTGCTGGGTCTCCCACCTGGCTGGCAGAGACCCAGGCACTTGGGCATCTCCTGCTGCCTTCCCAGGCCATGGCAGAGCTGGATCGGGAGAGGAGAAGCCGGGACACAGATCAGCACCTGTATGGGACACCGGTGCCGCAGGCGGCGGCCTCACCCCTGAGCTCAGGAGCCGGGACTCCGTCCAGGTCTCCCATGTGGGTGGCAGGGACCCACCTACCTGGCCCATCTTCTGCCGACTTCCAAGGTGCATTAGCAGGAAACTGGATCCTAAGTGGAGTAGCCGGGACTCGAACCGGCACTCCCACAGGGGGTGTGAGCATTGCAAGCGGTGGCTTAACCCCCTGCGCCAGGATCTAGCCCCTGGATGCATGTTAAGTAAGCCCCGCCGATCTCCTGTGCATTGTCACTGGGTCTTCCACACAGGCCTGGTTAGGGAACAGCACACCTCGGCGGATGGAAAACACTCGCTGAGCAGTGCAGACCTCCCTGATGTTGTCATTTCCGTGTCACGTGGCCGCTGGAAACCCACTGGACACCTGTGAGAGAATGAGAACGACACTGCAATTCCAGAAGTTTCTATCTCGCGGGCTCTGTGAACGGGTCTCAGGGACCTCCAGGGCAGGCAGAAGACGGTCCAGGTGGGGGTCCCTGCTACCCACATGTTCCTGGCTCCTGGCTCTGGCCTGGCCCAGCCCTGGCTGTCGCGAGCATGTGGGGCGTGAACCAGAAGGTGGGAGCTCGCGCTCTCTCTCCCTCTCTCTCCCTCTCTCTCTCCCTCTCTCCCTGTGACTTTGTCATTTAAACAAATAATAAACAAATAAATGTTTAAAAGTGTGTCGTAGGCCGGCGCCGCGGCTCACTAGGCTAATCCTCCGCCTTGCGGCGCCAGCACACCAGGTTCTAGTCCCGGTCGGGGCGCTGGATTCTGTCCCGGTTGCCCCTCTTCCAGGCCAGCTCTCTGCTGTGGCCCGGGAGGGCAGTGGAGGATGGCCCAAGTGCTTGGGCCCTGCACCCCATGGGAGACCAGGAGAAGCACCTGGCTCCTGCCTTCGGATCAGCGCGGTGCGGCCATTGGAGGGTGAACCAACGGCAAAGGAGGACCTTTTTCTCTGTCTCTCTCTCTCTCTCTCACTGTCCACTCTGCCTATCAAAAAAAAAAAAAAAAAAAAAAAAGTGCGTCCGTGTGGTTTCACTGGTGCTGCTGCCTCGGTGCGGGGATAGACACGGAGCCACGGTGTGGAGACAGAAGGGATCAGAAAACAGGCCTGGAGAGCGGAGGAAGAGGAGGCGGAGGAGGCCCCAGACAGGAAGCAGACACCGCGCAGCGTGCTGGCAGCTTCACTACAGACAGGTGGTCTAAATGCTCCGGCTGGAAGGGAATGAGCATTTCAGTGTGCATGGAAAGGCAACACTCGACTGCTGTGTGCAGTTGTATAGGAAACCCACTT